ACTTAGGAATATTATATTTTTAAGTGATCAGTGTATTATTATCAGCTGTTATTCATATTTCATTGCTTCATAGTTCGTATTTTGACGTTTATTAAGTTTCCCACAATGTTGACAAATATTAAATGTAAATAAATATTTATTTTTAAATTTTAAATCATGTACCTCATACATCCGAGTATAATAATTTAATTTTAGTAGGTTATATTATGTTATTCAAAATACAATAAAACTCTTTGAAAACAGCTGTCTTCGAATCATAATTTATTACCTCTAATATTATGACTATATGTCTGTATAAGGCGTATATATATACATATACATAAAACATAATATTCATTTGTTAGTCGTAAGAAGGCCAATACACTCTAAAATATTTACAAATCAATGAGATGGTCCTTTGAGACTAACCAATACGGCAGTTGGCAATACCTGTTGGATGTTTATGATTTGGTATTAGATGTATACATGCAATACTTCAGTAAACGTAAACTTACCTAATTATATTTTTGGATTGATAAAGTTTCAACTTTACTTTAATATACTTAACTGGTTTAGTCTATAATATATGGTTTGATACAATGATACCTATGATGGGTATGTACTGAAAGTTATTTTTATTATTTTTATATATTTTTTCAAATATTTTGCAACTAGGTAATTAAAATTTATTTTTCACAGCGATTTATTTGAATTCATTCACTATGCAATTTATTGCTAAAAATTATAAACTAACTTATTACTCTTTATAAGTATAACGTTGATTATAATTTTCATTAAAGATAACTTCGGAGATAAATCTGACGCGTTATTAAATTCTATTAAAGTTTACGAAACCAAGGTCCAAGCTAGATTAATTCATTTTGCATATTATTATATTCATTCTTATTTCTTATATACCTAAGTATTATTCGTATAGGTACCGTAAAAACATGGCATTTCAAAATGTATCACATAGTTTTTACCTTTTTCTGGATAATAGGTAAAAATGTATTTACATTAATATTGAGAGTTTAATTTAACTATTATGTAGGCATTAAGATATTCTAAGATAAACTGTCGATAACTTAGACAAGTAACAATTTAAATTAAAAATATGTTTCAAAACTTCATAATAATATTTACATTGAAATCGAATTATTAAGATTATAATATATAGTTTGTAGTATAAACTTTTAGACAATATTTTTGTATAATGTACTGTATTTTTTGGTGTAGGTTAGTTAATATTTTGTTATTTTAAAATTTAAATGTAATAAGGAATATTATTATAATAAATCATTGTCTCTTGGTACATCTGTAAAGCATAATAATATTCATAAAAAACTTCTAATAAACGAAATGTCAATACAATTATTCATCTTTTATTTATTCTGAAAAATCATTCACGAGAATAAATTAAAATGTCATGTTAATTTTGTACAATCAATCATCATAATATAGATACTTTTAAACAACTTTTAAAAGTATATTAAAAAAAAAATATAAAACATATTTTTTATCTTTTCATAAAAAATAAATATTATAAACAGTATTAAAACATATTTTCTCCGAAATACACCCAGGAAAGATCAAAATTCTATGTTTCCGGAATCACTGGCCAAATATCGCTCAATTATGACCCGACTCTATATCCTTCACTATATCAAACTCATCGTTGCCGACAATTTATACTCAAGAAACATTAATACCTCTGAACGTTTTAAATATTGTAATCCATATTTATAAAAATAAATATTAGGTATATTATGTACGTCCATCTCTCCTCCGATGGCCACGACTGCAACACAGGTTATTTTAAATTTAAATAAACAAAAAATTACGAACGTTTTAAATGTATATAAGAAAATAGCATATTATCTGTGACCAAATATTATACCTGTATTGTGTTCTCTATTAACGGGTTTTATGTAAAATAAACAAATAAGGTGACTTGATGTACGTATTATTATTATTATACCTTGACGCACCGGCTCACCGCCCTTGGCGTGTAATCCTCGGGAAACGGGAGACGCGTTTCATCAGACCTGAGGTGACGATGCTCACGTAGGTACGTCATGTCGCCAAGAACAAGTTATAAATAATTGTTTGGACTCGTTTGGACGGAATTTCTCGTCGCATGTGTAGTGCACTACGCATAAAATGCACTCGCAGTACACGAAAATTAATTCGGGCACAGTTTTCTTTTAAGACTGACCAACAGAAAATGTCGTGATATACCTACCTAGTTATATACCTACCCTATATTATAGCCAAGTTTCCACTACAACACCATATTATTATATAGTGTAGGTACTCGACACTCGTGTACTGTTTGGTCGTGTTGAGTATATACAATATATTATAGCAATTAGGTACCTATTTAATAATAATATGTAGATAACATTATGACGATAATATATTGTGTCGGTAGCCACAAGTTTGAAGTTGAATATTATAATACTGACTTGTATCTACACTATATAGTTGAAACCCGACTTTATTATATTATTACGATATCGCTTGGACGATAAATTCGCGACCCGGTGTCCACGATAATATTAATTTCCATCGTCGTCGGACAGTCAGTATAATAATAAGAAAACGTGGATTCTACCATCAGTCCTTTTCCTCCTCGTCAGTCCGAATCTCAATTAAAAAGTTTTTGGGTCATCGTCTGCTAGTGCGTATTAATTACAGCAGGGGTGTTGACGGTGTTCTAGAGAGTCGGAGCGTATAATAAGGATACCTAAATATTATTATACAGAGCCACAGTGGCCTACGACAATATATATTACAACCCTCATAATATTATGACGGCCAGACGAAACGTGTCGCTCGTTTCCAGAGGATCGTGAGGTGCGATCCATTTAAAATAGTCAGTCCTCCCCCTCACCATAACCACAGAACACGGCTAAATACGCATTAGATTACCACTGAAGTTACACGTATTGGAATATCTGGATCGTAGGTTTGCACATACGCAATTATATTAGCCCCCAGGGACTGGAACCGTACCGAAATTGACCGGTTTTGGATTGAAATATTTTGAAAATCTTGGGACCGAAAACAGACCGGAACCCTTAAATACATTTTTTTATGAACCAAAACCGAAACCGAAACCTATATTTTGATGTAGAGGTTTTTACGGTTTTTTTCGGTTCCAAAATCCAATAGATATTTTATCTATGGTGTAAACTAGGTAATAACTAATTATTTGTAAAAATAAATAATTATAAAATCTTAGACCTATAAAAGTTTATCAGTGCTAAAAAATAAGAATATTATTAAGCGTACAGCAAAATTGTCATAAAAGAAATAGGTACCAAAAATCCAAATTCTAATTTCCATATAATCGATATCAATATTATTATTGAATCACAAATCGCAATTCGCAATAGCTGATGTAGAGTATCTGAAAATAATAGCAATTTGGACGTTAGAGTGTTTCAGAATTCAGAGTAAGTTGTCATATAAATTATAAATTATAATAATTGTTACCTTACTAATATGCCTGCATTGATAATATTAAAACCCTAAACCTAATGCGGGTATCGTTAACTCTTTTCGTCGACACTTCGACTGTACCTTCTACTGAACTGTCTTCCGTCTTCGTTACCGCGGTATATATTGTTTAAATTTATATTTTTATTTATAAGGTATAAATTATTATATCAAACTGAAATATGGGTCACCCAAGTGTGTCAAAAATTCATTCTTATTTTTTTTTTTATAATTATTTTTTATTTATTTTAAATATTAAAATTGATTTATTTATTATTTTTAATAATTCAATTTTTTTATGATATTACCTAAATTCTGAAATAGTTACACTTAATTAAAAATACCTGTCACTAAAAAGAGGTTATTAATATGTTAATTTTTTCTTATAGTACTTTATTGATAAAAATAAAAAGTCAAATAATAAGGGTTAAAACTTACAACTGGTATTAACCGAAACCGAAATTTGATATTTTTAAAAACCGAAACCAGAACCAAAATCGAAATTTTGGGACTTTTGAGAACCGAAACCTAAGCCCATACCGAAATCATAAAGGTTTCAGCCCCTGATTAGCCCTTATAAGCGCACCTACCCCATCCGACTGCTTATTGTCACAGAACAATATTATTATTAAGACGTAAGATGCTATTATATATCATATAATAGAATTATCAAATCTAGGATCTTTGGCGTAGGTACGTTAAGGCTATAATAATAATTTATGTATGACTATTTATGTCTAGATTATATTATAATATTATGTATGTTGACAAAATTAAAATTTGATATATTTTCGGTGGGTCGACGAACGGTATAACATAATAATGACATATTATTACAATAATAATCATGTTATGTTGCATCGAAATCGTGTGCACACATTTCACATAATATAACAATATAATATAAAGTAATAAAATCATTATTATTATTGAGTTTCGGTGGGTTAAACGGGTTGAAGGGTAGGTACCGTATGCCCGTGCATATATATAGGTAAAAGAGTTTCTATTATATGGGAGTTATAGAGTGCGTTCACCCCCCACCACCCACCCCAACGCCATCAACGTACAATTCACCGTTCGTCCGCGCCTGTGTTTATATATTATTGTATATAATATATGATATACATATTACTTATTATTATACCTATAACCCGGTATGTGGTATACAATATATATGTATATAATATTCTCGTAAGTCGTGTGTATCGTTTAAACATTATATTAAACTATTATTATTTCGAAAACGGGTCCACTAAAGAACTCGGCGGCAGCACCGCTCCGAGCCTCCGACTCGCGTAAGATGTGCGTAAAGAAAATGAAATAAAAATAAACCGCACACAAAGGGTTTGTCGAGCGGTGCGGAGCGGTGTCGGGGGTAACGAGCGTTGTCGGGCGGAGGGACGACGGGATATCGTTGCCACGGCGAACGGGCAGTTGTCCGCGCGCGCGGGGAGGGTTAGAAATAATTTTTCTCCTCCATGACATCCACACACACACACACGCCGCTCCGCCGTGTACGCATGGGCCGCCGCTGCCGCCAGCTGCAGGTGCCGGTTACGACGGTGACGCGGACGGCGTGCGCGCGCCTCTGCGGCGGTGAGTGCCGAGTGGTGGTGACTGGTGACGGCGGCCCGACGGGCGACGGCCAGTTTGTTTACCGCGGCCGCACAGGCGTGTCGTCCGTTTCCGTGTGCCATGTCGTCGTCCCGCTGTCGCCTCCGTCGTCATCGCTCACCATCGCGTTTAAATTAATTCGCGGCGACCGTCTCGCTCGTCCATACACTCGTGTACCTGATACTCTTCCCAATATTCCCGTCTGCGGAACTGTTCGCTCGTCCCACCACGGTTCGGCTGTGCGTTCCGCATTAAGGCGATATCAACGTTTTATCGCTGGCACAGTGGCACCCGACATCTGCCTGATAAAAATAGCCCGTCGTGTCGTCGGTTCCCCGTGTACCTGATACATACCTGAGCAACAGTTCCTCGGCGGCGTGTACCGAAACTCGAAAGTGTTACGTCGCTATCCGTCTGTGATTTTTATATTATTCCGTCTGCACACCTCGAGATCTATCGTACCCGGATGACCGTCAAAGTGAGTGCAGTAAAAATTGCTCACCCAAGTTTGAGTGCGTTATAATATTAATATGTACCCACCTTTGCGTGGGTTCAATAAAATAATATAATACCTAGTGCCTGTAAAAGTGATAATACCTATTGTGTTCGCATCCTACCTATATTATATAGCTGTTGGTGAGGGCTACGAATTTGTCGAGTCTTGAACCATTTAGGTACCCACCTGTCCACTTACCCAACTGCAGCGAGTAGACAGATCGTCGATTATAATCGTTACAGCAACGATTTCATATGTTCCAAACAAATAGGAAATGACAAAATGCACCCACTGGTTATTCAAGTCACTGACCCATGTCTCACATAAAATAAAACATACTTGATATTATTATACTGTTTCAGCTTGGTCTTATCCCTATTTTTAGTAGTTAATTATAGTAATAAACGTTAAATTATTGTCCGGAATATTGCGAAAATTGGTTCCCTGCCTGATGTTTGTTGTAGGTACACATTTCTGTAATGGAAGTTGTAATTGAATCCAAATTCATATTTATTTATTCAAAAGACTGGAGATGATTGCCTAATGGTGTACTTCCACTACTATATTACTAGGTATTGCACGTCATAAGTTATAATATGCATCTTATTACTTAAATTGAATTATTAATTTGTACTTATTGTTTGACCCAGTGGCTCATATCTAAGTATATTATCAGTCAGTGATAAGGTGATCAGATTGTTTACGTTATGTATACCCATGAACATTAGAGGAATCCTCTAATGTTCATGTGTATACCTAATACCAATGAATGAGCCTGTGCGCTGATAGTTACAAGTTTACAACTTAACTTTGTTGAATAATTTCAATTCTAACACTATCGATCATACGTTATTACTTATTACTATGTTTAATCAAGCCACTATCTCAAGTTCTTACAAAAAAAGTTTTTGTTTTTTGTTACATTTTAAAAATATAGGCAAGTTATTTACCTTTTTCAACAATAACAAATCATGATTACAACAGAATTAACAGAAAATTTATATATTCAGTAGAACACTTTATTGTGGACTGTGCTAGTTATGTCGCCGACTATTCAAAATTTCTACCTACCTATATGGAAGGTATTGTTTGATTATATGACTTTGTTTTTTAATATTTTTTTATAAAAATAGGTTTGGTATTAGCGATTTGGGTATTTTTTTTTTTAAATTGAATTTGAATACCTTTGTACCTCGCTTTGTACCTATAGATTATGTTTTGTTTCATTGTTATTTATGCTAGAAGTATTACATTTTTCAGTAGAGCCAGTTAAATAGGTTCAGATTAAGTGCATTCAATTGTAATTTATGCTTATATGAGGTATCGATAACGGTTAATTTCAGTGTACGTTTTGTACCTGGGTACCTACTTAAGTAATTGAACGACTACCTAGTTTGTTAGGTAGGTACTTTTGACCATTTGGAAATATAACCATAAATATTTTATCATTTGTGTACTTCTTTGTAAACAAATGTATGATGTATCGTATTACACTATTGTGTGGAGTCTAGATATTTTCTTTGATTGTCATAAATGTTAAAATAGATTAACCTACTTAGGTACTACTTTGATAGAAAAAAATTGACTACCTATCATAATGCAGGCAGATTAGGTATTGTTGAGCTTCCGTTGCTTGTAGGTACCTATCTAAATATACAAATTATCTCCACAGACATTTCTATAGCAATAATAATATGTAACATACCTAGGCATTGATTCATTAGATAGTATTGTGGAATATAGTTAATATAGTACCTACCTATGTTACCTATAATATTTCTTGGCAATTTTTAACTTTAGAAATAAATTCATTAGGAACATGATAGTATGTCGTGCTTATACCTATAGAGTTTGTTTACTAATTGATTGTTGAATAATCATGTTTAACTAATAACCCCTGTAATTATCTTCTATTTTGAGTAGGAGGACACAAATGTTTGAAATATTAAAGTGTACCCACCTACCTATATTCACATGCCTATGTGTTCACATTTTTCATAATATTGAAATGGTGTTAGGTACTAATAATTGAACCAAAAACATAAGTCATTATAGGTAGGTAGGTATACTATGTATTTTTTACATATTCTATTTTATATTAAAACCTCAATATTATGTATAAAGTGTTTATAAGTAATGTAATTATTATATAGGTACCTACTTGGGAACCTACTTCCATAAATGTATAATAGTTAAAAATGTATCTATATTCAAATATAGGTAAGTAAGGGGTTTTTTAGTCATTTATACTCTTTTTATGTCATGAATGCTACAAAATGCGCCCAACTGTCCAAATTCACTCCTTTTAGTTTATTATTTAGAGTCATATATTTGTGTAGATTACATCTGTTTATAGATTAAATGTTATAAACTAACAATGTAATTTCATTGTTTTCCTAAATATAACAATTTAATTTGGTTAGGTTGTTCAACCTACATCAGTATTAACAACTCAAATTTGACACATGTCTTGTACCTCAATTTAGACAATACCTAGTTTACAGTAGATAGATTCTTTGTTATGTTGGTTTGTTATCATATTAAGGTATTTATCAGTATTTATGCATATAATTTTATACTATAATAACAATCAAATATAACATTACATTCTTAATTATTTGGTACCTATTTTTAAGAATAGAAAATGTTAACTATTTATTAGCCTGAAAGTTAACCTTAATACCTCTTAATACCTACTTGCCTAACTAGCCAGAGGAATTTATTACCTTAATCATATATTTCCTATAAAAATAATTACATTCAAAATTGTGTACACAGCCTCATAATCCAACTTAAAACTCTAAGAAAAGTCCTGTAAAGAGTAAATACAGACATACAAAGGGATAAACACTAGCAAGGTACCTATTATACTAATATACTAATCAGTACCAAACACAATTACTGTACTTACAATTTATTTTAATTGTTATACCCGTGGTTATACCTAATAAAATGTTATTACTTATTAGCCAATTTCGTTGTATTCTTAATACATTTATAAATACAATTATTATAAATGTGGTCTAGAGGATTTGCAATTGAAATTTTACCCCTCTATCTTCCTTTGAAATAAATATGTACCTAGTACCTACAGACATATTTTCTAATCTAAGATCAGTATGTAGGTATACTTGGTCATTACTACATTAAATTATATATTATATACCTTTCATGCAAAGATATATCTTTATAATAGCATTAAGCCTTAGGGTCATCATAGTACCTTTAGCTTTAGTGTTCAACCATAATTGTAGTGTTTGAAGCTTTATTATTAATCACGGTAGGTACCTACTACAGTAGCTGCATTCACTCTTTGTTTACGGTTTCTTAGGAAAATAAATTTAGATGAATTTTATACACGAAAATGTGAATTATATTTGAATATTAAATAATTTTCTTTTATATTTTACAATAAAATACTCTCTGTTAGTTTTGTAGAAAAGTTAAGTGCTAGTTATCGAACAGTTTATTCCCCATTATGTAGGTACTTGATTTTCTAGTTGTTTACTTTTTCATGAACTATATTTCATTTCAAACCGTTTGTATAAATAAATTTGGTAGGTGTTAAACTATAGCCTAAAAATGTAACTCTTCAAAATCCAAACATATGTTTATAACAATGTAATGAAAATAAACTCTTAGGTACTTAATAGTTAATACTTACCTACTGTTTAAATTAATATGTTTATTCTTTTGAAAAATAATACCCATTATGACATTATGTTTCTTTTTATTGGCCATTATTTTCGGTTTCAACTACATAATACGTATATATATATGTTTTGCCTCATCAGATAAGATTTCTGTCTTTCTACCTTAAACACGTAATCACGTAACTATAATATACAAAGATAAAATCAAACTTGCTGACAGTTTACGGATATGATCGTAGGAACCACTCTATTTGCTACGAAGATGGCCCAGGGAATTAGTGGATCCTCGAGATCATTAGTGCAGGAAGCCTGTTGTAAACTACATTCCGAGGGTTTGATGACAATTTATCTGATAGGACCACCCATGAGGTTATGGAAACCCCCTTCGGTTTACCACCGGTATTATTTTTTATTTTTTTCCATCCAAAAATTATGTCCTCATTAATGTGTATATTATATCGTACTGGTCGTGTGCGCGCGTTATAATACATGTGGAACCGAAGCTGCTCGTATTGAATACAAAATAACTTCATTCTTAGGTGCATAATATAATATATAATATATATTATATCGTCTAAAGGTATACGTATATATTGTATATATTATAAATAATATTATGTACTGTATATAAAACGCGCATGGGATACAAGAGGCCAAGGACAATTAAACTGGTTTCGCCTGATCACCGGCCAGCTCGCTGCAGTGCTATAGTTCCTCCGTGAGAATTATATATTACAAAGTCAATAGCGGTATGCGGTATGGATATTAAAAACCAATCTGAATTTAATATACTACATAAATGGGATTCGATGGCGGCCATAATAATAAGTCAACTAACAAGATACAATTATTTTTACTTATTTTTTTAACAATGGGATTCACTATGTCTGCGTTGTCAAGTAGTAGTAATAGTAGAAGTATCATCTATACGCCTAAATGCGTACAATAACTAACTAGTACTTGCTGCACGTAAGAAATTCCAATCGACTGCAAGATCTATAAAAGATAAATACAATGAAAAGTATATAATGTGGTTGTTGTGGTAGCCTGTAAAATTTACCCATATAGGTAAACTATACACATAACAGATGTCCGGGAGTTGTTTCAAAAATCTGAAATATATACCAAACCTGCGATTAAAAAATATTTTTTATAAAAAAATCAAAAAATTAAAGGTACAATTTTTAAATTAAAATTC